GAAGAAATATTGGAACGTTTTAGAAAGTTCTTGCTCCTCGAAAAGATAAATGTGCACGGATCGGATCGGAGTCCATTTTAATACCCTCTAAAGCTGCTGTGGGGATAACAAACGGGCTGGGTGGTCAAGCTCGACTCCATAATATCCCAACTGTATATATCGATGCTCATGTTGATCACTGGATTGTCACTGCACAGACTATAGTATTTTCATGCCATGGGTTTGGTTTCTATGCAATATGAGTTACCTCCCTTACACATTCGCAGATCTTGATGTTTCATTGTTTGTTAATTTGTTGTTGAAAGTCAAGAGTAACTTGAGATTGTGATAACTCTGGAAATCGAGTCAGGAGTTAGTGAAGGTTACCAAAGATTCCAGCCTGGAATACAGAGAGGATGGGCTTCGTCAGTCTTCAGATATCTCAGAAACAAGTGAGTGGAGTTGAAGCTTGTAGACCAACAGCAAACAGTTGTCTGCTGCCATGTTATTGATCCCACTTGCTGTACACCGCCTGGACCCCAAGCCAATGCTATCGTGAAGTGCTAATTGTACTGTAGTACCTCCCATACTGGAACATAGGACTTACGCACAGTCGTGAAGCGCTATGGGGAGCTGGGCGCGGAAACGGGCTCTGGTCTTTATCTGTACACATACAGCCCACCAATAGTAACTCACACTTCATCAGGGTTGTACACAGGTGCTCCAGCATCAATCTGTGTTATAAGTTACCGTTGATGCTCCTTGTCACAGCCTGCACAGTGGCCTCAGCAGAGTCTAGTGCCCCGAGCAGTTTCTCTCTGAGCAAATGCCCATCTCCAGCCAGTATTACTAAAGGGTTTCCCTCAAGCTAACACACAGCCTGGAGAACCTTCATACTGTTGGAAACACCTAAAACAGAAACCACACCTGTAACATAGAACCACACCTGCAACACAACACCAAACCTTGTAACAGCACCATACCTGTAACATAGAACCACACCTGTAACAGATAGAACCACACCTGTAACAGCCAGCCACACTTGTAACATAGAACCATTCCTGTAACATAAACAACACCTGCAACAGCACCACACCTGTGGGGTGCACTATGATCAGTAAATAAAGAACTACACCTGTAACATATACAACACCTCAAAGATAAACAACACCTGTAACATATACATACCTGTTGTAACATAAACAACACCTGTAACATAGAACCACACCTGTAACATAGAACCATGCCTGTAACATAAACAACACCTGTAACAGCACCACACCTGTAACACAGAACCACACCTGTAACAGCACCACACCTGTAACATAAAACAACACCTGTAACATAAACAATACCTGTAACAGCACCACACCTGTAACATAGAACCACACCTGTAACACAAACACCACACCTGTAACATAGAACCACACCTGTAATGTAGCACCACACCTGTAACACAGAACCACACCTGTAACTGATGAACATTTCTGAAACTAGACATCCATTACACTGTCTATAATGCTTCTGATATAAAGTAACCTGTAACTGACAAATCCTGGAGCATCTACAAGCATGGAGGACCTTAATACTGTTGGAAAACGTAACATAGGATCACTTAATCTTACAGCACCACACCTTTAACTGATGGACATTTTTAAGCTGGAAAACCTTCACACTGTCCTTATGCCTCTTACATAGTGTCACCTGTAAGTGAGGAACCATGGTACTGCTTGAATCTTGGCTGGACCCTCATATTGCTGGAATACACTTAACATGGGATAAATGGTTGATCATGGTTAAATGACCATTACTTCAAAAGCTTCAAATATATATGCCATATTCAGGTCCTGTCAACAGGTGTGATAAAACCATACCCTGATCCCAAATGAAGCTGGTGTCAACATAAGAGACTTTAGACCTATCACAATACACAATATAGCATTGCAGGTTATAATTACATCACAAGCCCTTTCCTTATTTCAATTGTCTTTTTTCACCAAATCACAACAGAATACATGAGCAATGGTAGCCCATGATGTAACTGTGGGGAAATAAAGCAACATGATTCTCTTCCTCAGCCTACCTGTGAATACCTCCATTTATGACTCTTAATGACTTCTGTCTAGGTAGATCAGGTAGGATGTCTCGCAGGTGCTGCATGATGATGGGCTTCATCAGCCCCTTGTCCGCCCTCCAAGTGCTGCAGACTGAAGGGCACGCTAAGTGGGACTAGCACTGGACGGGGCGATCTCGAGGGAGGTCACAGCACAGTAACAAATCAAATTCTCCAAACTGGAACACTATCATGTTCATCAGGTACATCATGTTATATTACCCATCAGGACAATATGCAGAGAGGTATCATATGGGAGATACAAATATAATGAGATTTTACAAAGGAGCATGGATAGATGTGAAAGGTTTTTCAGGTATTCTATCTGAGTACTATCAGTTTGGCTTCATGTTGATTAGTTAGTTTTTCCAGCTCTTCCATTCTCACAAAATGCTCATAGCAACATCACATCAAGCAAACAGAACGCTCCTCAATAACTTAACATGACATCCTTTGTTCATGATATGTAACAGACCTGGACATCAGGAACATATTTTTCTCACAAAAGAGACCATGGGTAACAAACTGAAAAACCGACCCTGAACTGAATCTGAAATTGTCATAGTTCGCTATTCATGAAAAGTGGGAGGACAGACTTGTCTCCATCTTGTTGACTCTAGCCGTAAGAGGCTTAATTACACGGATCGGGTGGTCAGGCTCGCTGACTTGGTTGACGCATGCCATCGGTTCCCAATTGCGCAGATCGATGCTCATGCTGTTGATCACTGGATTATCTGGTCCAGACTCGATTATTTACAGACCGCCGCCATATAGCTGGAATATTGCTGAGTGCGGCGTAAAACTGAACTCCCTCACTCCAGCCCTGGACATGATTTGCTGGTAAAAAATAGTGATTCCATTGAAGCTGTATTCATGTATTCCAACCCATAATGTATTCATGAGCATAGTTACAGATTTTTCTTGAAACAGTTTACCACCCAGTCCTAAAACATAGGGATTACATTAAATCATTTCATTGACGCTAGGTTGAAGCAGTTTGTACATTGGATGGGTGATACAGGAACACAGCATAATCACCCTGTACAATATTGATGGTGCATAGTGATAGGGACATTCCATAAATAGTTCACCTTGCAGTCCTCGCCTCGGGCATATCTATGGCCACAAATCGATACAGGGACCGCCAAAGTAGTACTTTCATCCCATTGGTATGGCAGCTGTGTTCCTGGAGGGTAGAAGAGGCCCAGACAGAACCGCGGAGGAGCACCTTCCACACCTTCTCTAGAGACTCTCTTACACTGGGCTGACTGGCTGAAATGTTAACAGCAAAACTGTCAAAAGCAACTTGTAATGTTGAAAGAGGAGTGACTAAATGTAGTCTTATGTGTCCGCCCAAGAAGTTGATGCCTAAGATCAAGATCTGAATAACGCCAGCATCATTTACAATACTCGAGTGTGATAGTCTGTACTTAAGTGTGCCTATGAATCATAGGAAGTGGGCAGCAGTGAGATTTGCCTTAGACTGTATGATCGCTTCAGCACGCACTACACACACATCCCTCAACACAAACACACCCCAACAAAACCTCGCCTCCCATGACAACAATCATCATAGAAATAAAAACCTGACTCCGATATATTGTACAACAGAAATTAGACATGAGAACAAGATAGTTCTGGTGATCTCTTATTCTATTGAATGTTTACAGGTATTGAAGACTTTGTTAATGAACATCGCTTCATTAGGTAATTGAAATAATTTGAACATCATAGTGTGCATCAAGTCACCAAAGTAATACATGTCACTGACATGTGAATGGGCCTCACAGACCTAGAAACATAATCAGGGACTATTGGGATTAGAACCAATGATGACAGGTTTCTGGCACACCTAAGGGACAACAACTCTGCAACAACTGAGTCTTGAGTTTATGCAACTTGCCTATGTCCCTCACATTGAACCAACAGCCCTTTTAAAGAGTTGTAGCCTTAAATATACTTCTAGTTACTTGCCTATACTCTGTTGTATAGCCCCTTGAGCTGGAGAATCTGTGGTAACCGCATTGTAAGTATAACAGCATCAAACCCTGACTGCTCCCTGTCTGAGTTGTAACCTGGACCGCTTGGCCATCTCCTGACTCTGAAGTCCACTTGAGATATATGGTGTTCATGACTTGGCCTCAGCCCCTTTAAACAGACAAGTCCTGGGTAAGTACTTGGTAAGGTCCTTCTAAACATGCTGAAATATTTGTTTCAGGACTGAATGACCACGGCATGACCTTTTTATTCTTTCTTTGTAATGGTATCAGGCTTTGACTGATGTAACAACAAATTAGCCCTTTACAAATTTTATATAAAAACATAACTTACCTTGATTTTAGTGAGGTAGTGTTTGACGAGAGATCCACTTCCTGCTGGTGTAACATAATGCCGCAGCTCCACTGACTTGTCTCCCTCTAACACTCTGGAAGGGTTGGAATACTCCAGCAGACTCCAGCTCATCAAATACACTGGAAAACAAACAGCCATTTATCTTATGTGTATGAACTACTCAGCAATCAAGATTGGGATTACGCATGCTGCAAGGGGACATGAAGAGAAAGAAACTGACAATGGTTTTATGATGATTTCCCAACAATATTCCTGCAATATCTGGGAATACCAGAACTGGGCTTGACACATGGACATAAAGAACAATTGGCAGTTTTCATGTATCTATGTATCTAAAGTACAGTTTCTTTTGCCTTAAGTTTGAAATAATTTCATCTCATTGTATCCTGTTACTGTTTCAACTTCAACAAGCTACAATGATTATCATGTGTTCATAAGGTGCCCTTGTATTGTTTTAGATTCAGCTTAAATGAACCACAATCCCAAACTCAATATATAGTTAACAAAATGCAATTAATTTCTACTGCCCAAATGCTCTGTCCTTGATGGATTGGACAAATATATTAATATGACCAACTTTGAAAATCCAATGAAAAAATTTAATAATAAACGTGATAATTGATAAAATGTATTGTACAGGTAGTCCATACAATTTTAACATCTCTGTCACATTTCATAAGAATGTTAAAAAAGAGTGAGGGAGTGAGTTAGTTGAGTTTTACACTACACTCAGCAATATTCCAGCTATATTGTGGCGTTTGTTAAAAATGAAATACATAACTCTAACACAAGTATTTTCCTCATTGTACAAACTCTGATTACAAAAAGCTTGATAATGGTGTTAAGAATCTGACTAACATGTCACAATATGCAAAAAGTTGTTACCCGCTAAGTGGTAGAATTGCTAATTTACTAACAAAAGTTTTGATAGGAGGAGTGAGTGAGTTCAGTTTTATGCCGCGACTCAGCAATATTCCAGCTATATGTAATTCAATTGATTGAGTCTGACAAGACAATCCAGTGATAACGTTTTGATAAGAAACACATCTGTAAACAAACTGAAGATGAAAGATCAATCAACCTTTGTCTCTTGGTTTTGGATTCTGGTGTTAAGGTGAAGTACTGAGCTCCCAAATCAACTGTGCAGGTGTCATCTCCCGGTTTTCGGATGTTGACATTCTCGACCTCCTGTAAAATGTGATTGTTTATATATCAAATTCATGAATTACCCCTTAAAAGAAAAAAAAGACTTTAACCCAACTGAAAAGTGTTATGAGTGATGTCCAAAGAGATTGTTAAAATTTATCTGATGAAAAATTCTCAGAAATCCATGTATTGTAAGGAGTATATTTGGCCCTGCATATAACCGTACCTAATAAGATAAACTAAGACCATGCTAGCAGCTTTATGGCCATAAGGGCATTGTTCTTGTTACACTAAACACAGTAAAAAGGTCTCTTTAATCTATACCAATACACATTCAAAACACTGACTCAAAAAGGAACATCCAACACAATAAGGATGAAAAGGTATAAAGTTAATAAACAAATGTTGCAAACCATAGGGTTAAAAAGCTGAAAACAATGAAAGTGTATTTTGCTTGAAAAAAAATGAGGCCTTGGATCGGTAAGATTTCACTTTTGGAGGAGATATCTTTGTTCAGATAGAGAAACAGAACAACTTAAGTTATAAAATGACTAAAGGTCCAAACTTTGTGAAACTTAATTAACAACATATTTTTGTGTCAGGGTTGAGTCAAGGTTCTCACAGTCAAATGGGCAAAATGCTCTCCAAACTTTTCAAATTTATTCAGTCTAATAAATGACAGCACAGGCTTTCTGGTGAATATACAGCACATATACTTTGAACAACAAATTTGTTTTGGTCATTCAGGTGCCCCCCAACCCCAACAAACCCAAAAACAAAACAAAAAAAGACTAATAGGGACATGTTATCTGCTGAATATGCTAACACCGTACCATATCCAAATATTACATAAAAGAGTTCCTAGTCATATTGTTACAAGTTCCATATCTAGAGGTCCTCTTCATTCAAATACTACATGCAAAAATCTAAAGGCCTCCACCTTTACTGTATTTCATTGCATGAAATGTATTGGTCAGGACATGACATGTGCCCAACATGGACAATACCACCTGGGACAACAGTCACCCAGTGATTATGCTTCAACGAGTGAGCAAGTTTAATCGTAGCGCAAGGCATGCCGATGAGTTTAGTATTACGCCGCACTCAGCAATATTCCAGCTATATCGCGCGGCGGTCTGTAAATAATCGAAGTCTCGACCAGACAATGCAGTGATCAACAGCATGAGCATTGATCTACATAATTGGGATACAATGACATGTGTCAACCATGTCATTGAGCCTGACCACTAGCTGGACTATAACCATCACTATTGTTTTTATTGAATATAAGCTGTTTCACAGTGAGATAAACAAATCCATGTTCCAGAATGTCAGATGTAAGCAGTTTCATGTTTTGCTTGTTAGATAATGACACTGGTTTGGAACCAACTATCGCCTTATAACTCCATGGTGACAAACATGTTGAAATAGTGTTCCTGTTAGAATTAGAAAGGATTTACTGAAAATAGAGAAACTCTTTGATCCTTTGGATGCACACATGAATCCAGAATGGAGGAGGAGAATAATGATGGCAATAGTCCAGTAGCCAGTTCACCAAGGTGGTGACATTAGTGCAAAGTCCAGTGGCATAAGTCCAAAGTGGCAATTGTCCAACAGCAATTGACCATATTGGGATTTATCTGTTTGGGAATTGTCCAATGGCAATTGAAAAGGTGGAAACTGTCTGGGGCGAATGTCTGGAATCGATTGTCCAAGGTGGAATTGTACTGCTCCATGATGTTTTCTTTATCAAAACAGCCTTATCTTTTATTGTGACTTTACATGTTTTGAATTCAGACCCATGAAGCATTTAATCTTATCACTGTGAAGATGGATAACTGATTTCAAGCTTTCCATTCTCAACTTCTACTGAACCTCAGCAGAACTAAGATAATTTTGAACAAGTACAGTCAGCATTTTGGAGGCAAGTTAAACATGGCCACTAATTTGCTAAGCCTCAAAAGATGTAAATATTTTAAATCAATACATGTTTACACACAAAGTATTGTAAACAGCACTTTGTCAGGTGAACAGTGAGCTAGTCTCTCTGGCTGGATTGAACCCCCATTGTCTCCAAAATGTACCTATGTAAACAACAAATAAGGAATAAGTTGGAAGCATATTCCTAAAATAGTGACACAAAGCACTGTAGCTCACCTGAATTTTTCTTTCAATTTATATGTGACTAGAAAGATTATACAAAAAATGGAAAATATGCAATAGAAATGACAAAGACATTTTATACATCAGACATGCTCAAAGAATTTCAGGAAATACTACATTTCTACATGTATAACTGGGTATGTGGAGAGCAAGAATAGCATAGACAGTCATGGCATTACTGGTTGCCACAAAGGTATATGTATATACGCAATGTATGAAAAGTTTGACTGACTGAGTTTGGTTTTACGCTTATAGCAATATTCCAGCAACATAACGGGCGGGGACACCTGAAATGGGCTTCACACATTGTGCCCATGTGGGGATTCAACTCCGGTCTTCGCGGATAAGCCAACGCTTTTAACCATTAGGCTACCCCACCACTCTATGAAAAGTCTGAGGTTGTGTTGATTATATATTGCAGTCAATGAAAGTGACATGTCATTCTGAAAAGCTCAAATTGCATAACACATAAATGTTCGAGTAATGAGAAAACTGACATTTTCAACATGGCTAACAAAGAGGCCATGTCTAAAATCAAAACTGTTCAAGTAAGAGCTAGTTTATATTGGGCACATTTTGATCAACATTAGACCACTTGACTTTCTGTCATGTAAGCTCAAATCCAGTACTGCAAGTGTTGGTTTATTAGTACACTTGTTGATTTGTTATGATATAATCAGTTTCAAACATGAATGTCCTCCAGGCACAACAGCTGCAGAACTCAATCACCAGCCGTGACCAGGAATTGCTCCAGATCACTGATCAGTGTCCCTTTAACATATTAGATATGAGAGCTCAATAACCAGGGTACAGCTGCTGTCAACGAATGCAGTCACGAGACAAGGGCCAGGCACCTGCCAGTGACGCGATTCGATCACTATACACTACTACCTATCACCACAACACCCCATAATATGTCCCAGGTACGCTATACAAGTAATGGTCATCACGATGGTGGATGGCACCGTTCTGTTGCTAACCTGCCCCACGAGACTTGTCCCATAACGTGATCGTCGCGTTCTGCGGTAGTTCCTGACGCAATGCAGCCGCGGTTGCCGCACCTGTGATGCCTGTGCCTGCCACCAACACCCGCGCCATGGCGTGTCGGAGCATCAATTTGATCGAGGTTAAATTCGTTATCTCACTGGGGTTTCACGTGTGTTCGTGACACGCAATGTCAAACAAAGCAAGGGAGGTAACTCTAATTTTCTATACCCCCACTGATGAGTGAAGCTTCGTGCTCAAATGAACGGCCGATTCAAGAGTGAATACTAATTAGGATCTTAACCAAAACACACCCGGGGTGGGAATCTAAAGCTCTGAGCGTAATCACATGTTTACAAACAGATTGGTCAAACAATTTACATCATTCTTAAAATATGACTGAAAATATTCTCTGATCCTAATCACAAACATACGGTATAATGGTTACTCAATTTGAAACAATGAAAAAAAAAATGGCAAAGGGCAAACAAAAACTCGGACAACAAAGATGAACCACTGACCACTAAAGTGCGTTATATATATATATTAATGAGTCAGCAAAATCACAGGTACGCTTTTGTAGCATTCTGTAAATTTATGGAAGCGCGCGTAATAGGTTTCATTGGCATGTCGAGGAAATACTTGACAAACAGTTTCACCTGAGGCTGATCTCATTCAGCATTGTTTACAAGGTTGCTTTGCGCTTAGAAAATTTTAATCATAAATGCAATTTATATTTACAAATTTATAAACATGTTTTTTACCTTTCGGTGTCGTTTTTATATATCATTAGGATTAATTAGTCACGAGGTCAACGTATGGGTAGTTGCATACTAATCTCGTACGTCACACGAGTGTCGTATCGCGTTGACCTGTGTCGTAACGACTTGACCTGAGATTCTAACGATTTGATTGGATAACCGATGACCTCTCAATTAGGTCATATTCTGACGTAACTAGTTTTTCATTCATAACAAACACGTGCATTCATTCATTCTACAACTTAAATGCATTGTGGGAATGTAAACATTGCGAACGTTGCCGTGTCGGTGTTTAATTGTGAGTCGAACTGAGACATTATATCCGTCGAAAAACATAAACGCAATGTTTCCACCAGTGATGTTAGCCGAATGAAGCAACTGGAAACCAAGAAACGGGGTGCTACGGAGTAGTTTACTGTAGAAGGCTGTACGAAGCGATGACAACTGACATGCATCGTGACGTCGGTTACCAAGGCAGTGACGTCATTACAGTGTGACGTCATGCAAATATTGTACTACAGTACAAACTCTTCCGCAACCTCTTTATGAAACCGGTTTCGGTTTGAAACCAAAACATAACAAAATACGCTATTTTGTCAATTTAATGCATGTAAGACGTGGGTAATAAATAAATATTACACTCGGTCTCATTATATACGAATTATACGAAACTGTGATCTTCCTATAGTTATCTGACCTCGCTTTCGCCTCGGTCAGATACCATAGGAAGGACACTCGTTTCGTATAATTCGTATGTAATGAGACCTCTCGTGTAGTATTCTATACTTTAGTAACAAAAACATTTGCCCTTATTTTACTTATAAACAGCAGGTGTGAGTCCTCAGTATAGACCCTCGGCGTTATCTACGTCACGATCTGTCTTATCAGGCAGTTCACTTGCATATTTCCAGGACATAACATGTTGATGTGGGCTTGAATTCTCCTGTATGCTTGTTTTTTTACGCCTCACGCCTCATTTTATAGCAATGTTAAATAATCGCGTATGGACCACTGATTGACAGCATGACTATCAGCCTACGCAGTTGCAATATAGTGACACACACTTGAGACTGAGGATCAGTTCTAACTAAACCGGACCGTCACGTGGATATTCTGAAATGGCTTTCATTGTACAACAGTGGCACGAATAGCTGCTCATGATGTTAACCATTGGGTCAAGACAATTAGTTACTGGTATAGCTTGGATAAGCGCACTGCAGCGATGTGCAAGATAAACACCTGTTGCGGAAATACTTGAAGAGACAACAGTGCACTCGTAGTGCAAATAACAAACTACAGTAATAGCGTATGTTATGATGCATTGTTTTGTTGTTTTTTGTTGCTTTTTGGCTCGGCCACTCACTGTATATTTCACCAGCATATATGCAGCAATGCAGGCAATATAACTGAAACCCGTGAAGATTCGCGTTAGAATTGATCTTCAGTAACCCATGCTTGTCGTAACAGGCGACTAACGGGATCGGGTGGTCAGGCTCGCTGACTTGGTTGACACATGTCATCGGTTCCCAACACTATTAATAGATAACCACTTAGCCTACAGACTGCCCTCATATAGCTGGAATATGGCTGAGTGCGGCGTTCAACTTAACTAAACTCACTCACTCGCTCTACAGACAAACGCGGTAGCCAGCACTAAGATCTAATTATAACGAAAGCGATCCATAACGTCTTGTCTCAGGACTAGTCCTGCCTGCCGGGGAAACCAACGGCAAGGAGACAAAAGCTTCAATCTACAACGCTCTTCGCATGATATAGATTACGCGATGGTGTGATCAATGGCCAAGTGCAGCATAGTGAACCCGGGTCTTCGGCGTGAACGCTTTAACCACTGGGCTATCCCGCGCCTCCTCCCTCCCCCGATCAAGTACATAGAGTCTCCATTCTAGTAAAATACATCCTGAACCAATCCGCTAACACAGCTTCGTTTAAACTATAAGTGAGTGAGTGTATTTGTGACTGCGTGGACTTTGAACAGTATTGCCGATATACCACGGCGTGTCAGAATGATGTGTGCAGAAAGCCCGAAGTGGTGCAAATCTGAAATATTCACCTCTTTGAAACACGAGACCACGGGTATGGTGCCGACGAGCGCCAAAATACAACAGGCCCACGAGCACAGGTGTCTTGCGCGCACAAGGACCACGACCGCAATACTGCTCCTGAACTGATACAACTGAGCCACCTTTGCTCCAAAGTACTATAAATAGCAATCCAATCAAATTACAGTCATATGCGAGAGAAACATTCAGGGCATACCTAACTGCTCGTGTCATTCCGGCAAGTAGTTAGAAGATGCCCTGAATGTTTCTCTCGCATTCGACTGTAATTTGATTGGATTGCTATTACTAGTACTAAAAGCAACTCAATTATATAAAAATAAATCTCTTCACAGTGTGTTAACCACACTATTTTCAATCTCGCCCCAACCCTTGCCTGCAAAACAAAACCCATAAATGAAGCAAGTCTAGATTTCCAGCATTATCTGGTGTCTCCCACCAAACTGAGGCCTCTTTTTAATGTATTCCGGAAACTAAGAGCTAGTCTATAATTCCACAGAAGCTCTTATCAATGAATTTTTGTCTTGTCATCAGCCCTCAGAAATGTATTTATAACCAGGAATCTAGGAATGACATGACAGTTGGTGCCAGAACCGAGATAATGGCAGCCGAGGCAATTCCATAAAACATCTGTCTTGTGTTTTTCCATTGTCATGGTTACACATGGGGAATAACGCAAACACCTAAGCCACTGTGGGCTTGTAACGGTTTAATTTCTTCAAGTGGCATTTAGAAGCTGTTATGATGAAGGAGAACAATTTTTATGCATGGACGACTTCTTTACAGCAATAGATGTGACGTTGCGATCAAGAAAAGTGGTGATAACGGTGTTAGAATCTACACCGAAACGTCGCCTCTGTTTCTCGCAATAAAGAAGTTGTCTAACCATAAAAGCTTGTTCCTCTTCAAGTTTAACTCATTTATGAAAACCCCGATTTACATGCAGTAGACTCCTCGATTATCTTGTCACGTCTCCATTCTGTTTAGATATCTAATCGTATTGGCGTGGAATGCACCGGGTAATTGAAGATGACACATCATCTCAGGACAACTTGGCATGGACCTTCATTGAAATGAGGTCTGGAATACCAGAAGATGAGATAGATAGGTCTGTCTGATTCAGAGGCAGGTGGTGATTTGACTGTCGCATCCGTAATGCTTTAACGACGACTTACGATGGACACAGCGCTGCGAATCTGTAGTGGATTGTACACGAATATCCAGAAGTCACGAAAGTGAAGACGTGCTGAAGTTTATTGAACTTCTATGGGAACGTGCGTCCAAGGGTGTTTGTGGGAGGGATTTTGGGGGAAGGGACGGGAGGGGAGGGTGAATGGTAGTGGTTGCGGACATATACCGGTTTTATAGTGCCAGGTAATTGAAATTCTAAGCCACAGACACCGTATACCGACTCCTAGAACGACATTGCCTCATATCATTTTATGCCGGACATCTTTACAGTTCTTGTGCTATGCCACGGCCCAGGACAAGACCACCGACCTTCCCATCTACAGACAGACGCACTCTATCCACAAGCCCAAATTCGCGTAAAACCATACTCACTCACTCAGAACAACCAGTGGGAGCATATTTTTAGTACATGTTTCAGAATCTAAAACCATATGCATAATATTTGTGTGTAACCAAACCCACTTATCAAGCATGCGAACAAACTCTACTTCTTATATTGTATGACCAGACATTATTGAGAATTTTAGGATTATGTTTAATTGGATTTCTAGTATAAACAACCTTGACCAGCTATCAAGTGCTTGGTTTTATTCAAGAGAAACAACTCCGTTAATCCTTTTTCATTAGTTTGTGAAGGGTTATCCCCCTTTGTTTACTTGCTAGCAGACGACATTTTCAGTGATCCTCAGTATGGATGATTTAGAGAAGAGGACTGACTGACTGACTGACTGAGTTTGGTTTTACGCCGCTTTTAGCAATATTCCAGCAACATCACGGCGGGGGACACCAGAAATGGGCTTCACACAATGTACTAGAGAAGAGGAAGTTGATTTTAGAGTATTATAAGAAGGACATCAGATCAGCTAAAGTGATTTCAAGTAGAACAGGCATCCCTTTGTCCACTGTTTACCGTGTTTTGGAAAATATTGCAAATGGATATGGCACTGAGCACCAGGGGAGGCGCAGGTAGGCCCAGAAAATTGACTGTCCCGGTGACAGGAGGCGGCTTGGTATTCTTGTTTCTAAAAAACAAAGTCTGAAGGAGTTTAGACAACTTCTAAGGCTGGATATGATTGATAGAGGAACTGTGTGGCTGTCTGTAAGGAGAACAATTAGAACTGAGCTGTATGCAATGGGTTCGCAGAAAAGTCGAGGAATTCCATCACCGATCATGAAACCTGAACAAAAGGAGCGAAGGTTGAACTGGTGCTTACAGCATAGAAATTTTAAGTGGGACAATGTGATTTTGTCAGATGAAAGTTCTGTGTGGCTGTTTCTAATACACTGAAATTCTGGACCCAAACAAAGTGAAAAACCTTTGTATCAGCGCCCAAAGTACAGTCGAAATTTAACGTGTGGGGTGGCATATCTGTGTTAGGGGCAACGCCCTCTGTGTATTTGAAGGGGAATATGAACAGTGAGCAGTACACAGATATTCTCGAGGGACATTTACTTCCATCTGCTCACGTGTTCTATGGAAATTGTTTGATTTTCCAGCAGGACAACGACCCAAAACATCGTTCAAAGCATTCACAGGCCTGGTTTCGGACCCAAAATATGACATTATTAGATTGGCTGCTATAGCCCTTGACCCATGTCAATAAGAAAAATCTGACAAATATGCTGTGAAATGAAAGAAGAGGTGGTCCGATATTGGGACAGCATGGACCACGACTCTAACTTCTTTGATCAGTAGTATGCCCCGCCGCATTGAAGCCTGCATTGCTGCCAATGGTGACTTGACAAAATACTAACTGTTCACCTGTCTTTGAATCTGGAGTTATGTTCTGCTAATATTCACATTTAATACGTGAACAATGAGAGAAAAATAAAAAACTGCAATCTTAAATTCTCAAAATTTCTGGATTGTACTGTACTATCCGGCGAGATATATATGCCGCCATGTGACACATTCCCAATATTTTTATCAGAAAAAACTGGTATCTGGACATATTTATAAACCGGACACGCACCTCTCCCAGACTTTCATTGACAAGTCATGTTGAGAGTTGTTCTCGCCTTGTGTTTTGGGTACACCCTAGCTGTGCCTCTGGGCCAGGTACGTGAGGACGCCTATAGATGAACTGCTCTTATTTTACCTCTAATTATAGTTACATTTTAAACGCAGCGTCGCGTTTTTTATACAAACCTTTAAACATATAATGTCCTGGACTGTATCGTTTTTATAAACCATATCATCAGCTTCGAATTTTTGTCACATTTGCATTTTCTTTGGAGTTTCCAGGAACACATTTGACTTAGATTTAAAGGTCAGTGTTCATAACTTAGAAACCCCATTAATATGTCCTCATGGAAACTTTTAAGTTACACAAGCCGGAACTGATGTAAGGTTTTGCTGTGTTTAAGTTTGAGAGATCGCCTTGTGTGAATTGATGTTGTAATAATTTAACTAAAACAGATGTCATAGTATGTATTGATGTTTTTATAATGATACACCCACGCTCAAATACATAGTAGTCCAAACAGTTTCGTATTTTTCATGTGTTCTGATATAATTATGTTTGATGATTTTTCTCATCAGGCCCCAGCCTTCGACCGTAAGTACGACATTAACAACCGACACACGTTACAACCATTACAGAAAATGTAGAGCATTTATGCATATTAAGTATAATTTACCAGCAACAATAATGTATGCATCTTCTGTTTAAGATATGGCGCAAAACTTTTATGCCGCCACTGTAATATTATTAGAGTTATTAAGGTATTATACGCATCATGATGATGATAATATTTAAGATCACCAACAATGTTGTTAATAATAAAAGATTGTTTATAACAGGTTAACTTTATCAAATAGGAAAAATATGGAAAATAAGACAAACAGATGCATCGTTATTCCATATGATGATCGATTTAAACCTCATATTGTAAACCTATATATATTCTTACAGCGGCGTACCCTGAAGAAACCCTGGTGAGTTAAGTGATAAAACATTATTATATATAACGATATGATTTTACATTGTAATTTCTACTGTGACATCTACATGTAGGTGATGTACTGTAATGTGATTTGCAAAATGGCAATTTTCGAAAGTTAAATGAGATATAAAAATCTTATGTACAGGATATTAATGCTTGTTTCTACACAAGAGTCACTTCGAGTGTTGTGAATAGTACATGTTGAACAGCATAAGCATTTCAGTAAAAACATCAGCAATATGCACTTTAACGTCCCATAAGTTCACTGTGAAGTGAGTAAGTGAGTGAGTTGAGTTTTACGCTGCACTCTTGTAACATTCAAGCTATATGGCGGCGGTCTCTAAATAATCGAGTCTTGGCCAGACAATCCTGTGATCATGATCATCTATCTGCGCATCTAGGAACCGATGACATAGTGTCAACCAAGTCAGCGAGCCTAACCATCCCATCCCGTTAATAGTCGCCTCTTACGACAAGCATGGGTTACTGAAGATCAATATTCTAACCCGGACCTTCACGGGTATCACTGTGAAGACTAGTGCCCCTTAGGCGTTTCAGAAACCGACGAATTGCTTCCAATTCCGTTATTGTCCGAATATGTTTTTAGGTTTGTCAGCAGCATATTGTGATCATGGCTTCACCAAGGCGGTATATATAGATGTGTTCGGAGTTTCGGCCTTTACTGATAACGCGCCTTGATAAGACTGACATATTGACCCACCGGCCTAAAACCAACATACTCACTTAAATCATCGACGGTTATCTGTTTAGTTCTCATTCAGGATTCTTCAGATGAAGATAAATTCAATGATGTGGACAGGTGCACAGTCATTGATAAATCTGAGTATGAAGTTCCATGTATATGGTAAACCTTATGTCTTCCCCCACAGGTCTCTTTGAGGGTGATATCATTCTTCATCCGGGACAAAATCCTAAGGTAATTAATCATCTGTATATCGATACTTTATGCCCCCTAAAAGAGCTGAATCAAAACAGTTTTCTCATATAACATATCTACTTGATTAATTCCAAAATTTGAAGTATAGAAATCCAAGACTAAATACAACATATTTTTCCTTTGAAGGGCCAGAAATGCTCAAAAGGAACAGGAATTATAGATGGCCAAACGGGGTCATCCCCTACGTAATTGACACCAACCATTTCAGTGAGTACTGTTTGCATTATATTAACGCATATAGCATGATCCACGTGTTGTGACGTCAGCTGGATGACGTATAGCTAGAAAATTTCGTGACCTTGACATACGTTTTACATCTTGGGTTTTCTTATTGTTTCATCGTCATTCTAGAAGTTGGTGTGTCAAAATTGAAGCATAAGAGTTTTACGGATAACAACGTTTTGAGCGATTGCCTGATAACAGCGTAAGAATCTACAAGGGAAACATCACTCTATGCAATAAACAAGTAGTTGTTATCCATGAAGTCTTCATTTGTGGTTTTCTCTTTCTGAAGAGCTCAACTATATTAAGACAACATGTTGACAAAATGTAGATTTTCTTTTGAATTCCTTAGTGCAATGATTTTGTAGATTTTCAAAACAATATAACAATGAATTCATTGAGATTTTGAAATCTATTGTAGTTTTTACTTGGTTATCTTTGTGGTATGTACCCAGGTTCCTCTGAGCAGACGACAATCCACCAAGCCATAAGCAACCTACAGGAAAAACCAAGGTCAATGGTAAAGCCTGCCTTACATTCAAACCCCTCGTACCAACGAGGTCGCCCACATCAAATACCAGGGAGGAAGCGGGTACACCGAACTTTACTTTGTGTTGTCAACAAATGTATTCATTGTTTATTTTAACTATGACGATGTTTCTGCTGGTTGAACAATTTGCGTAATGCTGATGTTGTTGAAACTGAACCCATGAACTTATAATTACTGTTTAAAGTTGCATTACACATACTAACTCACCCATCCGTTTGAAAATGAACCTATCCTGGTGTCAGGGATGTTGTTGTGATGATGCCGTCGCTGTTGTAGATGTCACACCCAGTAGGCTATCACCATAGTGTGTCTGGTGTCACCCTTTGGTGTTGGATGTGGCAGAATCGGCACCATCATGCACGAGACGATGCACGCCCTTGGGTTCTGGCACGAGCAGAGCCGCCCTGACAGAGATAACTACGTCACTATTGACTTTAGCAACATCCAGAGTGGTGATTCAAGATTGAAATTACAGAAAAGAATTAATTAAAAAGCTTGTAGTTATTGCTATAAATTGATTTTTTAAAATATAACAGCGAAACGTGAATTGAGTTATCAAACCAGTTAACTGACCTGTAAGTTGGTTTCATCCAAAAGTAAAACTATACATAATCGAACATCGTTGTGTCGAAGTTGAAGGTACCTACGTTATCCAATGATTGACATAACCGTAAAATTATTACTCTATAAGGAACCTTTAACTTCGAGACATCCGTATGTCCGAGTAATGAATGTTCGACACAAAGGTATTTGCCTCTATTTCTCTGCGATAATGGTTATAATCTGTTATTTCAATGATGGTATTGTTTCAGGACACGAACACAACTTCGACAAGTACACCACGACCCAGGTCGACACTCTTGGACTCCAGTACGACTACGAGTCTGTCATGCACTACAACGCCTACAGCTTTGCCGTCGACCGCAGGAAGCCAACGATTATTGTCAAGCAGAAAGGAGCAGTCATTGGACAGAGAACTCACCTCAGTCCTTTCGACATCAAGGAGATCCAGATGTACTATGGTTGCTTGTCCACACAAGGCTCCCAAAACACACCAGCCCGTAAGTTCACTAAATGCTTCACACAGGATTGAGGATTAGCTCTGAAACGTGTAAAGAATAGAAAGAAGTTGTTCTCCATAAAACGTGTTAGGTATTCCAGTTTGTTCAACTTCTAAATGCCTTTCAAGCACTTCAAACCTTCTGTTTGCTATAGTGACATAGATGTAGGTCACGTTTTCCCCAATATACCCCTGATACTATCAGAACAAGAGGTAAATGAGTGAGTGAATTAGTTACTTTTACGCCGATTTTAGCATTATTCTAGCAATATCACGGAGGGGGGACACCAGAAATGGGCTTCACACTTTGTACCCATCTACAAATACCCCCACCCATCCCAAAGAAATGGATATTAAATTTATTATTTATTTGATATGTGTATCAAGGGTGACAATACATCACATCAGTATCTCAAAAGAGGTAATGAGCACATGACAATATGTGAAGTCAAATTCTGGTGTTCCCTGTCGTAATATTGCTGGAATATTGCTAAAACAGTCGTAAAACCTTACTCTCATGGTTTATTGAAATCCATATTTCACAGTGCACGGCAATGAGTGAACTTTGACTTTCCACTTTGTTTTTGTATTTCAACCTTTGAGAAACAGAAATAAAAGTTTTGTTGAATGTTAGAAATAACATCATAACCATGACATTGTTCTCAAATTTATATTTCAGCCGCAACTCTGTCACCTGTCCAATGTAAGTACTGATTTAACACTTGTTAAGGGAAAATTATATGAATATGCAATAAGTTCACGTTCTGGTACTTTGTTATGCCATTCTATAAAATCACTCTCTTATAATTACAAATCCCGACAATCAATAACAAAAAAACATACTAAACTTCCGCAGCAACCAGTTTATCTCCACACATCACCCAAAAGCGGTTTCTCTGTGTTTAACCAGCTGCAGAAACCTGTACCTTCCAAAGTAACTACTGCACATGGAGCAATGTCGGGGGAGACAATATGGACTGGATCCGTCGCAGAGGCGGTACTCCCAGTGTAGGAACAGGCCCCACTTCTGACCACTCCGGCTCATCATCAGGTCAGCAAATGACGAGGTCAAACTATATATCTAACAGTTCAGCAAACCTACATTAACCCTGGATGCACCCTGTTTCTCACAAATTACCTGCCCTTGAGTTTCATCAACTTTTTACCGACCAATCAAAAGTCGACACAATGCGCGGCAACGGACAAGGGAGGTAACTCATATTACCAAGAAACCAAGACACCACTGTTTGTGATGAACATTTCCATCAAAAAGACTTTTTAGGGCCTTCATTTGTCAGTCGATACTGAATATGTCTCCCAAACTCAATCACGGTAAACAGCACTGGCCGCAATATTGTTGTATTGCCTACCTAACATTGAGGCTGGTAGACTCAATTGGGTAGCCAGTCTAGTTGGTATATTGAAATCAAGGGCGGGTAAGTTGAGATTGGGAGAATCAGGTGAATGTATTTGAGGGACTTGTGTAGGATTACCGAAATGCGAGTCCTGGAGATGTACAGGTTCGCTGAGACTTCAACTGTATGTCGATTATAGGTTGTACACGAATACGTTCTAGTTCATTTAACCATGAAAATGATAGTATCTACCTTCTTTTTATTTTCAGCCCCTTAAATTCGACTAATACTGAACATGATGATGATGATAATTGCAACAACAACAATAAACATAAACATACACATAAATGAAGAATACAGTGGTGACCATCAATATATCTATTCCTGAAACTGTCTAAAAGTATTTATTTTTAATTTTCAATAGCATTAATAATAGTGTTTTAATGTTGGTGTTGCAAGGTTACTACGCCTACCTTGAAGCGTCAGGACACTCCAGACAGAAGGGGTACCTGCTGTCTCGCCACCTGCCCGCGGGACACTACTGTTTCAGCATGTACTACTATATGAGTGGCCAAGATGAAGGCAGCCTTAAGACGGAGGCTGTTTTGTCTGATAACTCAAGGAGGGTTATTCACACCACTTCTGGTAACCAGGGCAACGCGTGGCATCACTACCTCGTTAACTTGAATGTGAACGGAAACTTTCAAGTAAGCATTTATGATGGGAAACAAATACAATGTTGTGTCGAAGTTAAATGACCTGCTTAATATATTGAATTATCCGCAACATGGAGACTTGAATCAGGGTCCAAGCTTTTACTTAAAGGCCACAGTAAGTACGTTTTTTGACCGTACGCATTTTCAGTACAGTGAACTTCGATCTTTTACCATCCGAGGCCGTTAGGTCAATGTTTTTAATATTCATATCATTCGATCTTAGTTTATTGACAGTTTGCAATATTAGACAAGAATGTTGTATTAAATTGCTTATTGTATGACATAAATACACATTTGATGGACATTCTGTAAAAATCATTCCTCTTGTCAATGACACTTTTGTTGCATCTTCAGATCGAGATCGAAGGTGACATCGGCAACAACTACAGAAGCGACATCGCCATCGATGACATTACAATCCATAACGGCGACTGTTCCAGTCTTCCCGGATAGAGGGGCCCAGACATATGGACATTTGAGATGCAGCAACAACATCGAGTCAATAAACAATATCGAAATTCAAATATGGAGTTGTTGTTACAGTCCGTTTGAGACCAAATGATACCGATGAATTGCAATTTAACACAAAAAACAAATAGACATATAAAAGAATCAAACCAACACGGACTGCAATAAAAACAACAGACCAACTCTAGAAAACAATTGCATTATTTTTGTCACAAAAATAAAAAAGTTGTTTTAGAAACTGTCGTAATTTATTTGTGCGTTTTCCCAGGAACAGCGCGAAAAGCGAGATGCACGTGCGTTAGTGGGTTCTCAACAAATGTTTGAGCTGGTGAGATGACACGCACCCCAGCTGCACAGGCAGTGCGCTGTATGTACTTAGTAATTATAATTGCATACTTGGGTCACCCCCTGTCATTTTCATTCTGTAAGATATCATAGACTTTGTAAATTATTGACTTTCATTTTCTCTCACTTTGTCAATCAGCAGAAATCACATGTCTCTGACGTCACTAATGCACGTGCATCTCGCTTTTCGCGCTGTTCCTGTAGTTGCCAATGCGCCCTTGTAACAAACTGGGAAAACGCACAAATAAATGATGACAGTTTCTTAAACAACGTTTTTATTTTGTGACAAAAATAATGCAATTGTATTCTAGAGTTGGTCTGTTGTTTTTTATTGCAGTCCGCGTTTAGTTGTATACACATGTATAAACTATCGCAACACACCATACTTTTCATGGCATCAATATGTTACCATTAACCATAGTAAAGGAATTTATCCAAACCTCGATTCATCTTACTATCAGGATATTGACCCTCAAGGAATAATACATGGCAAATCTAAACGCAAAACGAAAGAAAAACTAGTTTATTCAGAGAAGATTCTGGCGTCGTACAAAACGTTGTCGGCCTCACCTCGAAAATGATGCAAATGCAGCTGTTTTTATGTTTTATTTTTCTACATATTATCTGTCAACCTCCAGCAAATTGGTTTTGCTTTGTTCCAGCCTCACGATCCCCACTTTGGTACCCCTAAACACGCAAAATCTGCCATAAATTCATCACAAACATCAGGGAACAAAATATGGAAGAAACCTTTTTTTGTGTGTTTGAGGTAGGTACAAGTCCTCTAGAATCAAACTTAGATATTAAAGTGCATAAAAAAGCAATTTGAAACTTTAATCGCTTGTTAAAGTGACTCCCCCTTCATGCTTACTGAAAGAGCTTGCTTTGGAGACACTATCGATCCCTCTTTCAGTTGACGTAATCATAAGGACATAACTTATTCTAATGTTTTCACTTATTCATACATGATGCCAAGGGTTCAAACTAAATACAAGTGTCAGCCCTCAATATATTGTAAACAGTGCCAGTTTGAATATCTGGACACAATATTTTTGAAAGATTAAAATGGGGGTGTCCCGAAAACAGCCACCTTCTAAATATAAATCAAGCAATCCAAATCTTTGACTGTGGATTATGACGGGAAGTCATCCCAATACTACACTGAACATATTTCATATGATATTATCTGAGGGCATACCATTATCCAAGAGGTACCAAATGACGGTTCGTTTTTTCATTTTCTGCAATTTTAAAAGAATATTTACCCCATTGTGTTGTGATGACTAATATCTCGTTAACCACTGTGAGATTACCCACAATATGTGAAATGTTGCATATGGCTTTCCGAACGATTCCTTCAAAATAAAATGGAAGCTCTTCAAACAATGGACATCGAGAATATAGTTAGGCCGACTACTTTTTTAACGACCCTCGTACACCCTCAAGAAATCACCGAGCAACAACCGAGCACAGTATCAATATGTGGTGTAACCTACGCCAACTACGTTTAATTTATCACCTCTGACCCTCCACCTAATTAACTGTATCATAGGTTGAAGTTGACGTTGAGGTTTTGTGTTCCATTCTTGATGGAGGGGCTTGTTCCAATACATCAAGATGTGGTACTGTAGAATCACTCTGGAGTATTCTGCGACCCATAATATGCCGAACATGCTCTATGGGATTGCGATCTGGACTCCTGGCGCCTCAAGTTAGCGTTGCTATATACAGTCGATTGACGTAAGGAATCACCAACAAGTGCACGGTATGGCCTAGCATTGTCGTCCATGAAGACTGACCTTGTTTTCGTATGAAAATGTTTTCTGGTCAATCGGCTGATTGTCCCTTGTAAAAATCTCCAGTGACCATCATAGTTGATTTTCGAGGTTATCGAGCAGTTTACTGAATGTCTTATTTGCTTTATTACGGGTACGTGTATTGCACGTGATCTACGATTTGATTGTAGCACGTGCACATCTAAACCCAATGCCCGATTGGTATAAAAATACACACACAAACAGACATACTTTGTCATGAATATAAATAGCTATACAGGGTTAAACATAATAGCTGTTGTGATATTATTTTATGTATATTACATATGCAGGTTAGAACCACGGTCTGCCTTAAACTATGTAATAATGTCATTGTTTCATTATAGTAATGACACTGGTGGCCCGGACGTTTTATGTCCAGTGTTGTGCAGTGTTCCGAAACGTATTATCATTGGACCGAATCCCAGATTCGTCCTGATCATGTTATAGATTTTCCATTGCTATATTAAAGCTCGTAGGTTTCACCCAAACGTAAACAATTAACATCAGAATTGCTCCGTGTCTCCTCACACATCAAGGTGACAAGCAGTGGTAAGACTGACGTACAGTTCCAAACTTTTCGAGAAAACCTGGTGTTATCAGTGGTCCATTTCCTATTTTGTCCTTTACACCAAATGGAATCTATTTTTCAGGATTTGTGTAATATGAAGTCTCACTGCCTGGCTCTCTTCCTTCCTCCCTCATTGACTGACTTACCCACTCACTCACAAAAACGCTACTAATAGTGCCATGTCCTGATCTGTCTTGATGTTACTCTTCACCAGTGCCGGACATTCATAGAAGCGACTGTATGCTTGAGCGAGTGTGTAATTCAAAAATGATTGTAGGAAAAAAAAGTATTGGAATATAAGACTTTGTAGACTGAAGTAACTATGTGCTATTACAAATATTACTTGAACACATCCTGCAAATTGATATATGATTATACATGTATTATATTATATGTATAGATTATATTGGTTATGATATTGGTTCATTATTCCACCAATAAATGTGTGAACTCATTCTTTTTTTCCTGTTTCTTTTTTTCCTGATGCTTTTTTTCCGATTACCATTCAAAATGTATTCCTATCACATGACGTGATAATAATAGTGCATATGGGCTACATTAAAAACAACAACACATGTACACATGTGTACAGTAAACAGTGGGACTGATCATAACAGTGGGTAAAGAAATGAGTATTGAGCTTGGATTTAAAGGTATCAGAGACAAGTTTTAGAGACAAGGGATAGCCAGATCTACAAGACCGGAACAGTGTACGAGTCTCTGACCAAAGGTTTGTAGCTTGTAGTGTGGTACTGCCAGATTCTGATGCTGTGACCGAAGTTCAGGGGCTGGAACATAGGAAGAGGTTAGTTCTTGGGGAGTCTGACCGTAAGGAGACTTGTATGCAGACAGAGTATCTTGAATGAGAAATGTTGCCTTTTATTTCAAAGGATGTTATGTCACTTTAAGGAGTAAAATCGAGATTACGAAACTTGAAACCAACACGTAACACTTTGATAATGGCCAAATGTCCACCTCCACGGTCTTATCAAGATGAAAAGTCGGCATATTCTTTACTAATTATTTAGAACGGTTTAAGGAGTCAACATGTTGGGGATTGTCCTTATCCTGGTCGTTGGGCATGCTCTTGCTGTGCCACTTGATCAGGTCAGTACACATTGGTTACATCATAGACGATCTCTTCAGGTCATTACTGATTACATGTTGTTAAATTTTTGAAATTATACCAATGCATATTCCACTCAGTTAACGCTTAGGTTGTTTTTAAAGAAAATATAAACTTCCCCTCTTCTCTTATTCAGCTCCCAAAGTTCGATGGTAAGTACTTTGCAGATAAACTCATGTACATTATAGCTTTAAGGGAAGCTCTTTTATAAGCGAGTATCTATGAAAGAATTATAGTATTCTTTTACAAAACCTGTTTATCAATGTTGACTGATATAACAGTCACGTATGGCGTGACATACACACAATCTGGGAAAGGCATACGCCATCTTACCTTAATGACAGACAATCACAGGCAAATGCAAATTATAGAAGATACTTGTTAATATTGTATAATTGACCATTTGTTTTAGATATTTAGATAAATATCATTTTTCAATTCTTGCACGCATAAGTACATTTTTCAGTATCCATATTGCATAGCCAGTTTTGTGGTTTTCATATTTCCCCTCCTTCTTTCAATATTACATTGTGGTTTTAAAATTAGAATATGTTACAGTTAGAGATCTTTATTTCTAGAGGCGTTCCCGGAAGAGAACCCTGGTAAGACATAACACGTCACAATTTAATTCTGACTCACAAAAGTCCAGAAACTCTCCGCACTGTGGGCACTTTCTGACAAGGGATTTGACCTAATTAAACATGCAGTTGTTATGAATATATGCCAAGGATGAAAAATGAAAAAAATTCTTTCGAAAACTTTAAATTTAAACTCGCTCGCCCATGGGCAGGCCCATAAGGAACAGTGGCCATGGGCCGGCCCATGGGCGAGAATGTTTAATTTCGATCAGAATTCATGTTTTGAGGTTGTAAATGAATGAGTGTATGTTTGTAAGCATCATGAAACAAATTTCAACTCATTTTGACTTAATTCGACTAATTTAGAGCGATATTAAAAATCTCGCCCATGGGCGAAAACATTTTGGCCCATGGGCGAGAATATTGACTTTTACTCAAAATATATGTTTTTCCATGTTTTGGAAGTTGTAAATGAATGAATGTATGTTTATAAGTATCATGAAACAAAATTCAACTCATATTGACTTAATTCGACTAACTTAGAGCGATATTAAAAAATCTCGCCCATGGGCGAAACACATTTTGGCCCATGGGCGAGAATATTTACTTTTATTCAAAATATGTGTTTTTCCATGTTTTGGAGGTTGTAAATGAATGAGTGTATGTTTATAAGTACCATGAAACAAAATTCAACTCATATTGACTTAATTCGACGAACTTAGAACGATATTAAAAATCTCGCCCATGGGCGAAAATAGGTTGGCCCATGGGCGAGAATATTTACTTTTACTCAAAATATGTGTTTTTCCATGTTTTGAGGTTGTAAATGAATGAGTGTATGTTTGTAAGCATCATGACACAAATTTCAACTCATTTTGACTTAATTCGACTAATTTAGAGCGATATTAAAAAATCTCGCCCATGGGCGAAAAACAGTTTGGCCCATGGGCGAGAATATTGACTTTTACTCAAAATACATGATTTTCCATGTTTTGGAAGTTGTAAATGAATGAATGAATGTATGTTTATAAGTATCATGAAACAAAATTCAACTCATATTGACTTAATTCGACTAACTTAGAACGATATTAAAAAATCTCGCCCATGGGCGAAAAATAGGTTGGCCCATGGGCGAGAATATTTACTTTTACTCAAAATATGTGTTTTTCCATGTTTTGGAGGTTGTAAATGAATGAGTGTATGTTTATAAGTATCATGAAACAAAATTCAACTCATGTTGACTTAATTCGACTAACTTAGAACGATATTACAAAATCTCGCCCATGGGCGAAAAATAGGTTGGCCCATTGGCGAGAATAATTACTTTTACTCAAAATATATGTTTTCCATGTTTTTGGGGTATGGTGGTTTATCCCTTATTATAAACATATTAATTATTACTTTAGCTCTCACCTACCTCATCATATGTAGTCACTAGGCACTTAAAACATTAGAAGTAATGCCATGAAATGTGGCTCGTCAATGGTATGCGTGTACGAACGGATAATATCAAAACATACCGTCAGAACAGTCAAAATTAAGAAATTGTTGAATATGAAATATTACTGTTAATTTGTAATTCTTGGAACATAAACAGTATTGTGAGAGCTTAAAAATGTAACTGCATTGAAATATGTCTTGTCAATCCTATTGACATTTGCCAATAACCACTTCCAAATAAAATAAATAGTCCATGCTGCTTCAGAACAAATATAGGTCAATTAGGGAGCCCCAACTGGGTAATTAAGGAGAGAAGTCAATACACTGTCACTTCCTGCCCAGGACGTCACACGTCACCACTCGGGAGCGAAGGGCCTTGTCAAACCTCCTCACAAAGGAAACAAAAAGCATCAAAACTGTGTTTTTATTCTACGTGACACTCGGTATGTCGTCATAGTATTCATTGTTGAATAACTTCTATCGTGGGCAACCCCACACTTGCGAGGTGTACCTACCCAGGTTCGCACGTTTCGTTTTAATATTTTGTGATCAATTATTTTGTAATTCCCGTCTGCCCGTCACGGCTATTCTTCGCCCGAGGTTTAAGGGAGTGAGTCTATTATATTAATTGTATTTTTTATTGTGTCGTTTAACGAGCTGGACACGGAGTGCTGTTATCATGAATGTTATCATATATTAGTGGGATGCATTGATAGTAATGAAAACTTATAAGAAGATAGTGTACCTCAACATACAAACCTATCCCGATATCTCTCATCGTCACTCTCATGTCAATCCATTGTGACTGTTGCAGTCCTCCTGTACATCCTGTATATATCAGCAAGTTGGGTTTTTTTATTTAGGATTTATTATTGCTAAACACACATTTAACCGAGATGAAGAAGGGGGTCTCAAATTCCATGTATGCTTTTGCTCTCATAAGTTAGACATCCCATTTGTCAGACACGCCAATTATCAGACAACTTTGGATCAATCAGGCGTGACTGTGATTACAAACCTAGTTTTACCCAGTGGCGTAATAGACCCGTCCCATAGACTAACGAGATGTTTTCATATTAGTGGTTAGTGGTATATTTTAACACTAATTATGAGTTTGTTACTTTTTGTGCAGAAATACTTTGATCAGAATACTAATATTAATTGACTTCGGCTTCTCACAGTTTGTGTTCATAATGTTCACTTTGATCAAAACAGGATTATAGATTTCCCATGTAACTAATTGAGTTACTCCCAGCGGTACAATGGTGGATACGAATGGCTGTTGGGCTTCCTCTGCTCCCCCTAGGAATAACTGACAAGAAACTTGAAACCAAGATGGAGTAAACAGTTAAAACATAAACTCAATGAAGCTGCAGGTTTGCACCTTAACAATAAAAAATCAAAACAACACAAATATTTAATAAGAATAAATAACCATCACTAAGCTATCGATAGTCACACATTCTATTGATGGATCGATAATTTTCATTTCTACCATCGATTAATTGCTTTCGGAATAATTGCAATTCATCGATAGTTTGATGCATCATTACAGCCCTATTAATTATATGGCTTAATATATTCTTAAGCACATAACTTTGTTAAAGGTAACAGTGCAGTGTACCTGCGTGCAACGAACCATAACTTATGTTGATTTGACGTGTCTGGGACGTCTAACTGATCGGAGGACACCAGAGAGTAAGTTGCATGCAATATTTTAATATTGCCCTTGTGGATTGCCATTATGATTTGCACACATTATGTTTTGCAGACAGTGTACATCACTATCTATGTAATTGTATTATTGTTATGGAGCGGCATTGACATGCATGTTTATGTTTGTTTGCCAATCCCGTCATGATTACTTGAAGAAAACATGTTTAAACTATACATTGAACTATCCATAGTATTAATATGTAGTCTTTACATTAGGCAATGAGGAATACACAATATATTCAAGACTGAGTTTGATTTTACCTTTTAAAATTGTCAATATTTTGCAACAGCCGAAAAGATTTACCTTGACCTCGTTATGCACAGGTCCGTGGATGTGGTCTCTCGGTATTTTAGAAACTATGTCGTTAAGACAGTTGAGAGTGTTGATCTGTATGCAGTCTTTCTGCATGCATTTTCACGAGATCCATTCTCCCCTTTTCCTCTTTTTCACTATGAACTTATAACCATTTACACAAAGGTATCTTTCACCACGAAATGTAGCGTGAGCTGAGTTAACACATTTTACATTTGGTAGAAAGCTAGTGTCCATATTCCCTTAAAACAACACCGTCGTCACAACATCAAACATCCAAGGATTTTTACCTCGACCCAAAGGTCTAACCAGAGACCATATAATAGATCTATTATATGGTCTCTGGTCTAATCTGGGTCTACCCAGTAGACATCAGTTGCTTGATAACGGTTTTAGCAGCTACGCCGAAACGGGGTGTCCCCAGTTTGCCAGCAGATATTTTTAAAATTTCAGGTCACTGAACCATGCTAATCTCTTGAAACAACAGGTGATACACTTTTTAGGCCTAAAATTATCCAGTTGGGCAGATACCGCTCATTAGGCTATGTGGGACTTCATGCCTCACTGGTTTTATGGGATTACGGTTCACCTTACCACTGCGCTGAGCCCGTGAACAGAGTTCACCTGAACTGACACTAACACGAGTGAGTCATTAAATTAATGATTGGTGTTATGTTTAAACTGAACACATCACTTATCTCGTTGACATATCAATCTGATAAGGTCATAACAGAACTACACCAGAAATAACATTGATGTAGTTGCAGGGTCGTGGTTGTGTGAGACCTAAGAAAAACAAATATCGCCAGCTTGAAGAACGGCTAGGGTAGACTGCTGCAAGATGATGTCGAGACTCCACTTGCTTACGGTGTGTCTCACCTTGTGGGACTATGAATAATGATGTATGCTTGTGATATTGTGTATAATGTGATATTTTATAATAATGTATGTTTGTATCATGGTGGTAGTGCTAATATTGCCTAATGGTTGTATTTCATAATACTGTTGATGAGATTGATGATGATGATAATATGTATATTGACATAAATGAATGAATGAAGTCACAGCGTCAATTTTATGGGCAGCCAAAATATCCTGGACCATATTACAAACGGAACAACCTGCCCTGCACGCTCATTCATGTGTGTCCTCGTATCCCAGGTAACCCCTGCTGCCTGTTGGGGGTACAGCGCCGAAACGCCGCTTACAATATAATAAAGAAGTTGTATATCCATATAACTTTCTCCGTTGTTCAAATTATCATGGTCTCAACAGATATTGCATTGTCATAAGAATTCAAGAGAGATTTTCAAGTTATTGTGTTGTCATCCACATGTTGATTTAGCTGGTTTCTTCCTCATTTCCAATTTCATCATTCTGAGTTTCACCTTAGTTGAGTATTTCAGTGTGGCTCGCAAAGACGAGGTCACGGAGCGGAACGATGACGTTTAGTGTATCTCCGCGTTCAGTTACGTAATTTCCGCAAAGCGCCTGCGGCAATTTGCGTCGAAAAAGTCGTTGTGTCCCCATCCGTTGGTCTTGTGTATTGGAGTTATA